ATTTTCCGGGTACGTTTTGTTTGTGGCCATCACCTTTTTTGTGCGTATTTTTCACGTTTTTTTACGTTTTTGTTTGTGGGCCGTCACCTTTTTTGTGCGTTTTTTTTCACGTTTTTTTGGGTTTGTTTGTGAGTTGTGACTGTGCCGTTACGTTTTTTTCACGTTTGTATTCACGTTTTTTCCACGTTTTATTCATACCCCAAAATCCCAAGAGGAGCTAGGATGCGGACGACATAAATATATACAATACAAAGAATATATAGCAAAGACCCGCGAGAGAAAGAGAGCCGGGAGAGAGAGCTGGCGATCTCAGTCGGCGACCTGTCCGAGGCAGGGGTTACGGCCCAGTGCCTCGGCTTTTACGGCCGCTGCCGACGCCTGCCAGGAAGGCCTCGGGGGTGGATTTCGGGCTTAGGGCTCGGGGCTCAGGGCTTAGGGCTTCGGGTTTAAGGTATGGGGGTGTAGGGATGAAGAGTCTTGGGGCTTGGAATTTGACATGGTTCCTGGGGCCTGCATTCCCAGGCAAGTCAGTTTTCCAGCGCTGCTATGCAAGGCTCCAAGGATCGACTTGAGAAAGTTTTCGGAACCTCAATCACATTCATGAATTGCGAAGTAAAGCTCTTGCACTCAGACTGGTGCCGGTACTGATGATGGTTGTATTGTCGTCCTTCGCAACACTAGTGCTGACTGTAAAGATGACATAAGCCCTAAGCCCCCTAAACCCCAAACCTAGACCCTAAGATTCCCTTCTCCCGGACACTGAAGCCCAAGCCCTGGTTTCCCTTCGCGCCAGAGACTTTCCAGCAAAAGTCTGGTTTTGGGGCATACTTTATAGTATAGTTCTATGAAAGAACGCTAAGGAATGCCGTTCTAATATGAATAGTAAGAATATGAAAGTAGGAATAACAATACTATATTACCAGTGCTTATTTCAAATAAGCATACGCTAATACAAACACCAATACCAATACAAGTACTAATACGAATACAAATATTAATACCAGTATTAGCACTAACACTATTCACTAATCCTAGTACTAACGCCAGTACTAGTGCTAGTACTAGGACTAGTACTAGTACTCATCCTTCTGCTATTATTAATGCGAAAGACTGAGACAAATACTAATACCAGAACCAGTACTCATGCCAATACTAATCCTGATACTAACACTACTACCAACACTAACACAAACGTTAACACTAAGACTGAGACTAGACTGAGAACAGTCCCAATATGTATACTAGTATTAATTCAAAATACGAATGCTGGTACTAATGTTGATGCTAGTACTCATGCTAATGCTACACCTAATCCTAGTCCTACTGCTAGTTCTATCGCTAATACTAGACCTAATCCAATTCCAACTCTAATGCCAGTGTTAATGCAATCGCTAATGCCGACGCTAATGCTAGTTTAATACTAATACGAATACTAGCACTGGTACTTGTTCTTATACAATACTCATACGCATAAATACCCTGCTGATACTCAGTACCAATGCCAATGCATCAGTACGAATACCGATACTAGTACTAAAACTAACACTAATACGAAGACTAATCTTAATCTTAATACTAATGCTTATAATGCCAATGTTCATACCTCTTTCTACTACTACTACTACTACTACTACTACTACTACTGCTACTACTACTACTTACTACTACTACTACTACTACTACTACTGCTACTACTACTACTACTACTACTACTACTACTATTACTACTACTACTTACTACTACTTACTACTACTACTACTACTACT